CGTGCCTGTTTACGCCTGCTCGGCATACTTGTCATACAAGTGCAAGAGAAGATTCTTCGCTCTTTAAAGTTGTAGGTTATTTGTTGTTAAATATTTCTCCTCAGTAACACAACAGTTTCGAACGAAACTGGTAGGGTAAACTTGCAGAGTTGCGTGAACAAGCCTACAATAACTCTAGTGTTTACGAATTAACTTCACTCACAATACACTTCTTCGTGAATAAGAATTCGAAAATGTTGTCCTTTTAAATGTTTCATTGAATTAAAATATTTCTTGTCCTGATTGTTTGTCAAGATCTCTTTCTTATCGCTTTGCGGGTTATGGTTTTCAGCCGTCCGTGAACTCGCATGCAGAAGTACTTAATATTAAAATGTCGCGTGTGTCAAATGAATCTGATGGTGTTTTAGTAGTAAAATGCAGACGAAAATGATTCTGAGACGTCTTCCTAATTATTAGTGTTCATTCAAATTCCGACAGCTCGAACTGCAAGTTTGGCCCTTGAATATCTCATCGGATCTTAAGTTAAGATCACTGACACTCTTGAAAAGTGATGACCTCAACCAGAAATCAAATAAGCTTCGAATATGTAGAAATTCGCTTCAATCTTGCCTAGTCTTCGATCTCCTACATTTTACTGAAAACCTGTTCCTAAGTTTTCGACTTTTAATTATGGTATGACATTATTTTAAGTTGCATTTGATTAAAAACAGTATGAATCGCGTATCTTATTTGTGATATTCAAATCAGCTACGAAATGGTATCTAATGCGCATAATCCGTAAAGTAAATCAGGCGTAGGGCTCGTTTTTGAATTAAAAGTATCTTATTTAAATAAGTTTTAGGTGCAGAGCCCCAAGCACAGATGCCATAATAAAGATAGCGAATAAACGCCGGTCTAATAATCATTCTTCTCTGTCCCCTGAAGCTTGTTCAAAGGATTGATACTCGTTATCCACCAGATAAGTCAGTATCCAGAGGAAAGGTATTGGGGAGACCAATTGCGTTATCCAGTAGACAGTGATTTATTCGGTGGAAAAGTGATAATTCGACCCATTTAACAACAGGCGCCTGCCGCGTCTGGGTGCGGTGTTTATTAGAGAGCGATCGATATATTTATTAGTATATTTCCTTCCATCCACGGCGTTTAATCGAGATAGGCGTTAAATAGCGTTATTGTAGGCCAAATATGTTTATTATCCTGTGAAAAGGCTCTCCCTCCTTTTTGGGAATTTGTTAAATATTTCTCCTCAGTAACACAACAGTTTCGAACGAAACTGGTAGGGTAAACTTGCAGAGTTGCGTGAACAAGCCTACAATAACTCTAGTGTTTACGAATTAACTTCACTCACAATACACTTCTTGGTGAATAAGAATTCGAAAATGTTGTCCTTTTAAATGTTTCATTGAATTAAAATATTTCTTGTCCTGATTGTTTGTCAAGATCTCTTTCTTATCGCTTTGCGGGTTATGGTTTTCAGCCGTCTGTGAACTCGCATGCGGAAGTACTTAATATTAAAATGTCGCGTGTATCAAATGAATCTGATGGTGTTTTAGCAGTAAAATGCAGACGAAAATTATTCTGAGACGTCTTCCTAATTATTAGTGTTCATTCAAATTCCGACAGCTCGAACTGCAAGTTTGGCCCTTGAATAACTCATCGGATCTTAAGTTAAGATCACTGACACAATATCTTGAAAAGTGATGACCTCAACCCGAAATCAAATAAGCTTCGAATATGTAGAAATTCGCTTCAATCTTGCCTAGTCTTCGATCTCCTACATTTTACTGAAAACCTGTTCCTAAGTTTTCGACTTTTAATTATGCTATGACATTATTTTAAGTTGCATTTGATTAAAAACAGTATGAATCGCGTATCTTATTTGTGATATTCAAATCAGCTACGAAATGGTATCTAATGCGCATATACATCAGCTGCCTGTGTCCCTTCGATGACAATTAAAGATCGTGTGAAAGTAGTTACATCATTGCCTCATCGAATAAACGCCGGTCTAATAATCATTCTTCTCTGTCCCCTGCAGCTTGTGTTCAAATACTGAAAATACATTTTAAATACTTTAAAAGTAGAGTTATGGTAGGCCAAATATGTTTATTATCCTCTGAAAACGCTCTCCCTCCATTTTGGGAAAAGGGGCTAACAAGAGCCATAATTATGGCTCTTGGGGCTAAAAAAAGCAGACACGGCGAGGGAAATGTGAGAGCTCAAGTCCTCGCTTGATTGGCTTCGCTCGCGGAGTTTTTCTCTTTTCCTCATGGCCTTCAAGGACTCAGGTTTTTCTAAGACATATCCACTGGAAAATTATTTATGAAATGGATTAGCGTTGAACAACTGAGTACGTGTTTTTCAAAACAGTATATTTAGAACATTAACGGAACATCCGGCCACTGCCAGCTTGTTAAAACATCCTAATTTTTTTTTTATTCGAAGAGTGGTTTTATCGGCACAGCCGTTATTATGACTAGCTCTATTAAAAGAAAGTCATTGCTTAGTCAGGGTTTCTAACAGCAGCTTTAGTTGTAAACAACAAGCTCTGGGGCGTAAATAATTGTTTAAAACCGCAATAGCGCAAACCCCTAGCCTGTCTAGAGGCCCCGTTTCNTCATTCTTCTCTGTCCCCTGCAGCTTGTGTTCAAATACTGAAAATACATTTTAAATACTTTAAAAGTAGAGTTATGGTAGGCCAAATATGTTTATTATCCTCTGAAAACGCTCTCCCTCCATTTTGGGAAAAGGGGCTAACAAGAGCCATAATTATGGCTCTTGGGGCTAAAAAAAGCAGACACGGCGAGGGAAATGTGAGAGCTCAAGTCCTCGCTTGATTGGCTTCGCTCGCGGAGTTTTTCTCTTTTCC